GTTAACTGGCCTCTGAATACTGGTAGGAGAGGTTTGATTCCATTTCTGTCAATATTATGGTGTGTGACATTTACAATAAATCTGTCTGAGCAGAGCTGTGTGTGTCTCTCTGTGGGAGGGTCTTTGAGTGTGTGTGTGTGTGTGTGTGTGTGTGTGTGTGTGTGTGTGTGTGTGTGTGTGTGTGAAGTTTTAGATGTTCATTGTATCTGTGTGAGAGAGAGGAGAGGAAGAAAGTAAAGGAGCACAGAGAAAGGCTGAGAACAAAAGAGGGGGGGGGTGCACGCGCATCTGTGACTGTGTGTTTGATGCGTGCAGTAACATAGTAACATAGTTGGCTCTTAACCTCTGACTGGTCTGAAGCCTCAGATGTACCAACTTTATGAAGCAATCAATGATGTAATAATACATGGAATTTAAAAGCTATAAACACAGATAACATCCAACAGAATTTTTCACATTTGCACATGACTTTGAGCTCTTTGAGGATGCATCGACTGGCAGCAAATAATTAACCATTTGCTCAAATAATTGAGAAAGATGTTGAGTTCAGGAACATTTTAAAGAGAATAATGCACTGCAGAAATCAACATGTGTGACACTTTATTATGTACTCATTATTTTAATTCCTTTTAGCTGAATGATGGTGTTGTCCTCGCTCGGTACAAAGCATTCCCTTCTGTGTGTTAAGCTGTTTTAATCTAATGGATAATGAGCACATCTATAATGTGATATCCTTTTTCTAAGACGTGTTTTCTTATTGAACATCTGGAAGGAACAACAGATGTAGACGAAGCACCACAGAATAACTCTTCATTTTCTGCAATCATAGGAACAATTAATGAGGCGGGGGATTTATATCTCTGCCTCTTTTATTAACTTCTGTATATTTATTATGTTTGCAGTGTGTGTGTGTGTGTGTGTGTGTGTGTGTGTGTGTGTGTGTGTTAACTTGGCAGTTTGAAGGTAGAGGGACACAAAACACACTTGTGAACACAAGCACACTGAGTACACACAAGTATGTACGCTCACACATGTATGTGTTTGACCCTGACCTCTGTAAGGAACACACACACACACACACACACACACACACACACACACACACACACACACACACACACACACACACACACACACACACACACACACACACACAGACACACA